TTAAATTTACGATTTATGTATCCGTTTGTCATACAAATTTGTCTTTCCACTTTTTCCCGAGACTACAAATATTCGAGTACAAAGTAACCGGTTTCGACTTATTTCTACTTAAGAAGTAGTTAAATAATTAAGAGATTAGGGAATTGGGAATATAAATAAAACCCTGCTATAAGAGCCGAAATTTTACTTAAACAGAAGCTTAACTGAACCAATCTCTAGCCGAGTACAGTGGGACTGATTTCTTCGTAATATTAGACGTAATAAAGACAGAAATTTTTCCGGTTCAACGAGAGTGACCGAAAAGTTGTAAATTTTGGAAATTTCCGTGGAAAACACCTGGTCCTAAAACGAATTAGTTAAAAAACAAATGACTATTAAATTTAACATTTTTAGATTTTTACAGCTATAGTGAGAAGCGTTTAAAATCTACAACAGCCCCGTTGATTAGTGATGCGACAAAAGAGGCATTTGACATTAACCGGTATGGGCACCCTGGGGATATGGCAGCCCGCGTGCATGCACGCACCGCACACCTAGCAGGACCGTCACTGATTCCACTCGTAGGGAGCTATTTGACTAAGTGGTTAAGATTTTAAAAAGTAAAGAAGATTTTATGTTATTTTTATGTACGTTTCTTTACAAAGCTATATTTAATTGTAATTTTCTTTAAAAGTATATTCGTACAATTGAAGAATATTTTGTATCAGGTATGTATATCCACCACACATTTTATTTCACCGAGTAAGTTTTCATAATTTTATTATTAATTTTAGCTCTTATAGCTAGCGATTTAGAATGTAATTGCGTTATTGAAAATTCATTTTTAAAAAAGTTTTGGCTCGAGATCATATAATGAAAAAGAAAACATTATTAAAAGAGAAAGACCAATGCCCAAGTTAAATATAAACGCTTCAATAAAAAATTTGTTGGACATTTTCACGATAAAATGGCTCTGTAAATGCATAAAAATGCAAAAATTGTTTCGTTGGCTTGCCTACTATTTTCAAGTGAAATTAGTTTGTGGAATAAGAATGGCTTTGACAATTTAGCTGGCAAAAGACACGAAAAATCGTCGATTCTTTCGTATTTGAAGCAATTTGGAAATCGAAGCGGAATAGAATTTAACATTAGTAAATAATATAAAATAAATATTGAAAATTATAACGGGATAGTTACGGCTAATAAATATATTTAAATTAATAGATGTTATATGTTTTTACCAAAGCGAGAATCGGCATTTAGAGGGCATCTATTGAATCTAATAATAGAGTTAATTATATTGAATTTCATTAATAACTATTTGTTAATAACGTCAGATAAATAATATATTAAAAATACATTTAAAAAATTAACTGATCGCCCCTGGAAGTCGGCTTCTTACAGAAACACAGCTTCCCTATCATCAAATGTCACGGCACACCACTGATATACGTATATACATTAATACTGTATCATGTATGAAATTCGTATGAATCTTAATTAATCAGAGTAATTCGACTTCATTCGTCGTCTCGTTTCCTCTATTTTCACAGATGTTTTGTGTTACGGCAGTCAACAGAATAGTACAAATTTTTATAAATTAATTTCTCTATCGAGCATTAAAAATTGTCGAAAAGATTAAAATCTTTATATATAATAAATAGAGATTTTATTATAATATTCAAGGAATTAAAACAATCATTTCTGCATTCAAAACTTACAGTTCAGATTAGAATAGGAATATTTCATAATTAATGCAAGTTCTGTTTTTACAACGATCGTTAATTTTTCTTGCAGAATGGAGAATTTCAAAGAATTTGAAAAAGTGGCACACTTCGAGCCATGCCCAGGATAGCGCCTCGTCTTCGCCTCGTGTAGTACGTGTGCTTCCGAAAGATGCGGAGAAGGAGTCGCATACACCCGACGTCCAACGGGTGGTGGTAGTAACTCCGGACGACAGTGCCTCGTCTCTCGTCCGTTATCTGAAGCGGCGATACCCCGAAGTTCCGGAAAGGACGGTGGAGACACGGTTATGTGAGACGAACTCGGCACAAAAGAGTCCGAAGAAGTGGTGGAAGAATCCGTCGAGCGTAAAAGGCCTTGGTGGAAAAGGTTGTTTTGCTGCTGGAAAACATAAAACCTTTTTCTGACGAGGCTGTCTTGCACAAATTTCGACTTTCCACCGAATATGACACAGCCACTCGGAAGTGACCTTATACTGGAATACGACACTTTTAATCGGAATTGACCTTTCACCCGGCTACGACTGAATCAACTGGACTTGACTTTTCATTCCAATTTGTGGACGGATACTTCGACGACATTCGAGATTGATTCTTTCGCTTCGTTTAACCAAACACACCTTGCATTCGATATGTGTTCAGACGAGAATTATAATTACTTCAACAATTAAAATTGTACATAGAATTTTCACGATTGTATATAAATTTTTATATTTAATAANATGCTGATCCTACACTTTCTGCCCGACAGAGCAAGATACAACTATACATCGGTTGGATAACTGCTATCAATTTGAACCCGTCCGGAAAAAAATTCTAAACAATAACAGTATCATTCATCACAAAATCTTTAAGATAAGCGATTGTCTTAAATTTACGCCCATCGAGATTTGTATACAAAGTATGATCACCTTTTTCACCGTTTACAAGCAGACCTATAAATACTGAGGAAAATATTACTACCGCCATCTCTCACCACCACGGGGCGCAATAGTCTGTGTAACTGAAGCCCAACGACAATGATAAGACAAGACAATGATTAGAAGTGCGAAATAATCTAATAATCTTAATCTTTGTTGTTTTTTGCCCGGGCAACGTCGGGCTCATCTGCTGGTATTTAATAAAACTTATTAAATTTCATAATAACTGTTTAAAGATTCTATATTGACGTTGCGCATTTTTAGATTAATTTATAATTAATAATGTTTCTGGCAGTTATGACGGATGACGAAAAAAGAAAAAAATGTACACGATTCGTTTAAAGATTCTATATTGACGTTGCGCATTTTTAGATTAATTTATAATTAATAATGTTTCTAACAGTTATGACGGATGACGAAAAAAGAAAAAAATGTACACGATTCACAATGAAACAAAAATATTCAAATTTAATGAGCGAAATATAATTTTAAAAACTTGGAAATTTCTAGTTATTTGCTCTATCTAACTGGCACCCCGAGTTTGAATTGCCACTGTTTATGGAGTTTTGTAAAGTGCAACTATGTGGCACAAAATCTTCAAAACTGCTTAAATGTGCCAAAATGACGTATAAGATATATTTGCAATCATCATATGAAATTAAAGAAGTAATTTTCTCAGTTTTTTAGCCGAGATATATTAAGTCCAACCTAGATGTTTACAAAGTACCAGAGCGCAACGCCGGTTTGCCCTGGCACGACTACAGCGTTGGTTGTAAGTACAGGGAAGACAATTCTAGTTTCCCTTTAACTACTCATTTGATCGAGAGTCTATAATATAATTAAAGTGTAGTGAGCAAACTTTCTTGAAAGCGACTCAAATTGATAAACTGCTGAAACACATTTTACAAAATAATGACTTGACCTATTTGAACATAATTTTGCACATTAATAGAAGTAATAAAATGGCATGTTATGATGGAAGCGATATTGTAAAATTCGACCTAAAGCGGGAGATATTAGGATCATCCCATGTTACGTAAATGGGAAAATTTGCATTGTAAAAACGCAAACAAACGAGAGCGAGCTACTCACATTCGAAAACGTTTGCCGTTTTCAAATGTAAGTAGCGCGGTATAAAGAAATTTGCAAAGCTCTTGACAATTTTTTTAAAACGATCTTTTCCTCCCATTTTTCTCGATAAATTGATCATATATACCTTAACATACCTATATATTGTACGTTAGCGTATCGTACCTTCACAAAGTTTTAAAGTTTTATAGCAAAAATAAGAATTTACTGTTTAAAAAGTGTGACAAGTCGCTTTAATGTAGAGCCTTCTCTCATTATCCAGCATGAGTTCGCAAGCCGTCGCGCACTTCAGTCAGAGATGAAGTTCCCTTAGTATTAATGTTACTGTAAGTATACATATTATTGTAAGTATTGTAAGTATAATAATCAGATATACCTTCATTCAAAATTTTTCATAATTCTATGAACAAATTAACAATAAGAATTTTAGTATTTGTTTTTTAAAACTCTTTATCAGGTCTTTTTAAAGGAAGTATATTGTGTATATTGTGGGTTCGGCCAGGCCCACAATGGGACGGCCGGTAGTGAGGAACGAGACTCGATCTATCCGGAAAGACCATCATTCAAAAAATGCTTGGAATTTTTCGACTCATTCAGATTTGATCTTGGGTCATGAAACAATGGGCTATCAGGTAATTTAAAATCCATATTAGACAAATTTTGAGCTTTCAGAATTTAAAAGAAATTTTGTCATAAAGGTTATTAAAAACAAAATAAAATATAATTTGTTATGTTTGGATCATATTAATGTACAAACAATTCTTTAAAATGTTATTATAAAAGACAAGTTTACAATCTTTACACATAAAGGTATTTACACAAACTGTTATATTTTAACAATAATAAAGTAAATATAGTAATAATAAAGCAACAATAATACATAATGTAATGACATTTTGAACATTTTTCACTTAAAAAACTACAAGTGCGAATGAATTCAATCCGAACGTATCACGAATTCGGACTCTCTTGAATAAAGACTGTTTCCATATTGCCATTTAGTTAACTTTATAAACATCTTATTCTTAAATATTTTTTTTTATAATTAATCATTGTATTTACGGAAAAATTAATTTTGATTATTTGTAATCACTTCCACCATGAGTATTTAGCATTTAGTTGTATTTATACAGTAAAAAAAATTAGAAAATTTAGTTTTGAATAATATAAAATAAATAATAATTTAAATAATATGTTAATAATAATTAATTTAAAATTGTATTTATAAAATATAAAATATATTTTTAATTAATGACGAATTTATTTAATAAGAATTTTCCAGAGGGCTCTTTAGTTGATGTCATTTTCAATATGAGAAATGTGATCGATTTCAGATGCCTGAGATTTAATGGACTTTTTTGCTATGTTTATTAAAATTAAATTGTAATGAATGGGTGTTATTATGAGTTCTAGTAAGTTAATTTCATATAACAATTTTTAAAAATAAAAAAAATGTCATTAATAAATGAAGACTTAAAAAGTTATGAAATTAAAAGTAAATAAATTTTAAATCGGCAATGTGATGACGAAAACAATATTAAATTAAGCTTAAACTTCAAGCAATTTAATTAACAGTTATTACAAGATATGAGTTTTGTAATAAAAGTTATTACAAAAGATAGTTAAATAAACACAATAAATAATTGTAATGGTGATTTAACTATAGTTAAAAAAAATGATTATGTGTTATATAATTCAAAAATATACTAAAATTGTAGAGCGAGAACATAACAACATTGGTATCTTTTGATAGTCTATGCCACAATGTACAGTACATTTGAATTTACATAAATTATTTGATTTGATCTTATTATCTGACAATACAACTCAAAATTGGTTAGATTTTAATCTGTATGTTTTTGGATTTGCTAATTCTGATAATTTATTTGTTTCTCAAACAAATAAGTGTCGCAAATTACAACACTTGGCATTTTACCATATTTATTCAGTTGAAAATGTCCAGTCCCTACAGTAACCACCGGGCGGTGGACCGCAAGTCTGATTGAGAAACAAAAATTATACAACGCTGTTTCAAATTATAAGAAATTCTGATAATATTAAACAACTGATAACAATAACAGATTCTACTGAATTTTTGTCTTCTATGAAAATATGCAACAATCTTCTGATTGTGATGTGAAATATTATTGGTCTTTGCAATTTCTTGGTAAATGCATTTCAACTGTGTTATCTGCAGAGGTCAATAATAATGATGAAGTAAGTCTTCAAAAGGAACCTTCCCATATTATTTCTACTAAGAAATTCTAAGGATCATATTGAGGAACTTCATCTCTCGCGAGTTTACTCCATCCTGGTCATCGTACTGGCCTTGGATGGCAAATGGAATACGTTGGTGCCACAACATGTCTGTTCAAACAACATTTAAAAGAACATAACCTAAAAAAAAAGGGGGACATTACACAACTGTATTAGTCAGTCTGGCCACGGAATACCAAATCAAAACACACAGATGGAGCCTGATGTTTGCATGCAATCAGAGTGCAAACATCTTTCATACACCTTGAGAAGCTAGAGATATATAGGGCTTGTAAGAAAAATATGACCATAAATTACAAGGATAGCAACATCCTTAAGCATGTAGATCTGTATTTGAAGTCCAGCAATAAATACTACACATAACATCAACAACTAGTCAGATGATATTTCTTCCTTTAAATTACAATGTACAATTCATCTGTTTTTTTATCTGTACATGTTTTAACCTGATGATTACAGCTAAAGTTACTGAAAATGTTTGTTTTTCTCATCAGATAATTTTTCATTTTATGCTGGCATTTTGGTTATTTTTTTCTTATACTTGTAATATTTGTTTAGGCAATTTATTGCAAAAGTCTGCATTTGCATAAGTCTGCCAGCTTTTTAATGGATTGATACAAACTAGAGTGGAACAAAAGTGAGCATGTTGCTTAGTAAAGTGGTTTTAATACAACTGAATAAGCAAACTAATGACATAACATTTTCAAATGAAATGACTATGTTGTTAGTTTGCTTATTCAGTTGTATCAAAGCTGCTTTACTAGGCAGTACATCCAATAAATATGAGTGAGATCTTGTTGCTTCCTTGATTATGATTGATCTGTCGGAGTATCTGACATTGAGAAGAAAACATCAACATTGACATTTTCTGCTCAATTCATAGATACAAGTGATGTTCAAAACTAAATGAATTTTATTCATATTTTTAAAAATAACTTTTTAACAAATGAAAAGTGCAGACTGATTTATCAGCAAAATGATTTATTAATTTTGTTAGGAGAATCCTGTTGAGAAGGAAAAAAATTCATTTTCAGTAATAAAAACAAAAACCACACATGTTCATTTTCAATATATGTTGATTTAATAGATGTAAGTTAATATGATGTAATTGACATATTATTTTGCTCTTTCTGTCTTGTAGGCACTAAGAGAACTTTTTTTTGAGCCTATCAATGGTTTGGCTATTATTATTTTGTGTATTTTTTTAATGTGCAGAATACATTGGTGTGAAAAAAATAATGTAATGCTCTCACATAATCTTTTAAGTAAATATAATTTTTTATAGTTAAAACAGTCATTAGTGCAGTGAACTATTAAATTATTTGAATTTACCATTGGTTGTGTCTTGTCAGACGTTTTGGCTGGATCTAAATATTTGTAAATAGTTTTTTCATGTATAAATTAGTTTGTATTCAATGCTATCACTTCTATTGTGCTTTCTGCTTTTTTTATTATTATTTGTAAAATATAAAGTCTTGAATAAAAGTTCTGTTTATTTTTATTTTTCAATTATTCTCTTAGCTTTTTCCTGTCTGAAAAGATTCAAGTCCAAAATATGAATCAAACAATAATTTAATGATTCATTATGATTCATTAAATTGATTCATTATACTGGCTACACCAAGATCATTCATTTTATTATTTTTAATAAATTGATGGGTCAAGTAGTATTAATAAGCCCTAAAATATAAATTTTAATGGTCTTTAAGTAGGAATATGTTAAATAAAGGTCAAATAATAGTTTATAGAAGATGGATAGTGTCATAAAAGTTTACAAAACACAATACTATATTGATTTAATAAATATTATTAAAATATTATTATTAATAAATTAAATGACTGCCTAGTTCAGATAGCTAACATTTTTAATAAAAACATATTAAAGAAGCAGGATAATGTGTTACATAAATGTCAAACATTTTAATTAGATTTCGTTTGATTTTTTTGAACATCCTTTTTATTAAATAGCGATAACATTCACTCTAATAATTAAATAATTTTTTTATACAGTTAGATGATATGATTATAAACTTGTTTTATTGCATCACTTGATGAAATGATGCAATAAAATTCATTTACATTTTAAATTTTTTCATATTTTATGCAAGATTTATATTAAAGTTAAATAAGTATAAATTTTGTCAGAAATAATTTAGGTTCTTATTAGCACAAAGTAATTAAAGTTAATTATAAAATATTCCACAGTTAAAAATTTTTTATTAGTGACAAATATATAAACAGTTTTTCAATTTTTAGAATTAGCAGTTATATTTATCTTTAGAAAAAACTGAAAAATTAGATTGAAACTTCTTACCAATTGACTTTACTGTAAACATATTTCAATATTAGCTATTGATTATATAATTTTTGTCTTTTAATTAAGTTCCCTTTCAAATATTTTTATATACAGTAACAGTACAAAGTAAGTTGAATGGTATAAGGTGAAAAAATGTAAACTGAGAAATGTTTGCATTATGTTATGATTTATATAATCTTAATGAATATGTATGTTTAACTGTCTATTAATAAATAAATAATAATTTCATTTATCATAGATAAATGTAAAAAAGTTATCAAAATTGTGTGTATTGATTTTAATCTTAAACTATATTATTCAGAAAAATTTATTATTTGTTTTATGGAATTCTTTTAATTCTCATGAAAATTCATATTGATTTTAAATATATTTGTAAGTTGACTTAAACAATTTTGAGTTTCTTTTTTTATTTATTATCTTTAATACAAATATTTTGATAGATTTTCTAATAAAATAGATGTTTACATTAAAGTTTAATATTAGAAATATTTAAAATTTTTCAATTAATTAAATTAATTAATGTCAAGTTTTAATGTCTTTTTAACTAAGAATTTAAACAGATTGTTTATAATTATTTTAATAAATTAACAAAGTAGTTTTGAAATAAGTGTAAAAGTAATTAATTAATATGTATATGTATATAAAATTGTAACTACAAATTAATTTTTTATCAATCTGAGTAAGTTTTCTAAAGTAAGTGTAAACATTTTTAACAGTTTTGTTTTTCAGATACAAATACTACTGTAGAAATGCCTTTCTTTCGGTCACATTCAAGTAGTAGTAATGATAGAAGTAAATTGGAGCATAAAATGTGCATTGTAAGTGTTATTAATTTTTTAACTTTATTAATGACAGTTATATTATATTGATAACTGAAATAAGAAAAGTTCTTCCATACTTACAACTTGTTCTAATGAATATTTGAAGCAACAGATTTAAAATGATTTAAAAAGTAATTTTGTTATTTATCTTACAAATGATTTTATTTTTAAATAATTTTAAATTCTGTTTTGAATATTCATTATAACAAGGTGAAAGTAAAATTGAGGAAGGCTCAAAAGAAGCTGAAAACGTTTTTTTGATAAATAAAATATTTGCTAACCTTAACAAGCAGTGTGGAAGGACTTTTTTTATTATAGATTTATGGATTTCAAAGATAACCAAAATTGTTAATTATTCCAAAATAAATGATAAATGGAGAAAGCATGGATATATCAAAATTGCAAATGAAGTTTTCATTTGAAAACATTTTAAACTTACTTTGACAAGGACTGGTTGTAAAGGGAATGAAATTTTGACAGTATTCATAAAGTAATTCGTACGTTTGTAAGTAATTATTGAATTTCTCATAGACTGTTGTTTATGGTAAGTTTATAATTCAACTTTAACATAGTGTTTCACAATTGCTAGTCATTGCTGGAACTGATGAATGCAGCAATAGAGTGACAAGGTGTTAGAGTAAGTTTTGTTTACTGCAGCAATAGATTTGTATTCAAACTTTGGTCATTGTCTAACTTGATGGAGTGTGGTGCTATCCAGAGAGATGGAAAAAATGCAGTTGAATAAACATTTATTATAGAATTTTCTATCTTTCATTCATATTGAAAATATTTAAATATCTTTGATGTAAGATTCAATTCTAAAGACAGTGATATCAGTTGAATAATTGGGAAAAGATTATGTATGAGTAATGGTAAAGATCAATCTTTTTTTAGTACTAAAGAACAAAACAACTGTTTTATTTATATATTTTTTTAAATTAGTTGATAGTTTAATAGTTGATGTTTATCAAAAATTGTGGAAAAATCTACAAAATAGATTTATCAAAACTGAGAGTGCTGGAATGGTATAGCATTAAGAATTATTTTATTTATAGTTTGCCATCTGGAGGAATAGTAGCAGCATGTATTTAATGTAACTTTGTAAATTCCATTGTAGTACCATTTTACAGAGTTGCAGAATATTTTCAGAACCAAAAATTCCCCTGAACATATGCAAAATTTCCTCAAAAATTATTGCACACTAGTATACCAATAAAGAACAATTTATGAATGAACTAATAATTATTATTACACAATTTAAAAAATTCAAATTAAATCAAAACTAATTAATTAAATAGGCCTACCATATAATTTGTTTCCCAATACTAAATATAAATTAACAAAAATTTTTTACTTAAAAGAACACTAATTAAAGCACATATTATCATCATAGGATAGGATCTAGATTATTCTATATTATGCCTCACTTGACTATCTCAGATTTTGCTCAAATTTAGTGTATACTTTCTAAACTAATCAAACTACAAAATCACAAAAGTTTAGGTTTCAATATGCAATATTTTAGCTGTAAGAGTCTCCTAAGTGGAAGTGATCAAACTTGCAAAACCAATTTGAAACATTTTACATTTTTGACATGCTGCCATTTATAAACTAAGGTTGATATTTTCTCAAAAATTGCTGCAGCAATTCAATGTTTCGTATGGTGAAAACTGAATAAATTTTAACAGTCAAATTTGATTACTCTTCTTACAAGCTGCAGTCAAATTTAGAAAAAAATTTTTGTAATAAAATCATTTTTGCTGGATTTAAAGGTTTGTTTTGCAATGTCTGGTATATTTTATTCAGTTACAAACAGTCATATTCACAAAAGAAGATCATCCTGAGATGAATTGTTCAGAAAATATAACTGCCAAAAATTGGAAATGTTTTTGTTTAGACAAATTCTTTCTAAATTGACTGCAGTTAGTAAAAAGAATAATCAAACTTGACTCTTCAAATTTATAAAGTTTACACCATACAAAGCACCAGCAGTGCCTGCAGCCTGTAAAAAAAGAGCATTGTACATTATGCAAGAATCTTCAAACTCTGATTCAATGCTATATTAGTGCTCTCACAAGATGGTGTTTGTTGCACTTGGCTAATTTGGCCTTGTAAACACGGAATGTGATGTTGATCAACATATGACAAACAAATAACTACATAAAAATAGTTGCATGGGACAATAGACAAATATCATTTATTAGTTTTATATTTGTAGAATAGGCTAGATTTCAAGAATTTTCTGTTGTTTGTTGATAAATAAATTTTGGGTCTCCTTGGGGATTGGGAAAAGGGTAACCCAGATGAAAAGGTTAGTGCAGTGTTTCTCAACCTCTAATGAATCATCGCCCCCTTCAACATAGTATCGCCCCCTTCAATAAAACCATTACGTAGTATACCCCTTTACTTCAAAATTCCGACACTGAGGCCAAGACTAATGCCAAATTCGTACTGCATTGAATAGACTAGTGACTAGTATAATGTTATTCGTTTAATTATTGTACGATATAACAAATAAAATATCTAATTATTCTTAACTAGCAGACCCCGCTACGCGTTGTTGTGGCTCAAAATGTATCTATTATAAATGTATAACGCTTCCCCTGTGGGGGGGAAATTTTCCGAAAAATTTCTTCTTAGTGTACATTCTGCTGATGTACCCTATTAAAACGCAATCAAAAACACAAAAAAAAAAAAAACTGCATCTAAAATAGTATAAATAGAAGCAGAGTTCTTTACGGTAAGCCTTAATCCTAACCATCTCCCTATAGTGGGGAGAATTTCGACATGTATATTATATAAAAACACGTGCGTATTCGAATGCAGAGTTGTGTCAAAATTTCAAAGGAATCGATAGGAACAAACGAACATTACATTTTTATTTATATAGATAGATAGAAGATGATCTGCTTTAGTTCATTTTCACAGAAAAGCAAAAGCAAACTTAGGGCGTTGTACTTGTAGCGCCATCTGTTGGACATAAAAGCCTTAACCTAGATTATATTTTTTAATTTATATGAATGTTTATCGGAATAATATACAGCCTATGTCTACCCTGAGGTTCCATTCTAAATATTGGTGAAAGAATTTTTGAAATCGGATGAGTAGTTTCGGAGATTACCTGCTGCAAAGAAACTTACATACATACATACATACATACATACATACATACATACATACATACATACATACATACATACAAACATTACCTCTTTATAATATTAGTATAGATATAATGTTTTACTATATCGCCCAGAAAATTGTTTTTTGCCCCCGAAAATATAAATTGTTACTAATCGCCCCCTCAACATGGAAAAATGCCCACATGGGGGCAATATTGCCCCCATTGAGAAACACTGGGTTAGTGCATGCTCCAAGTGCCCCAATGTATGGATACTCCTGCAAAGCATTGAACTTCTGCAGCAATTTTCAAGAAAATATCAATTTTAGTTGCTGAATGACAGCATGCTGAAAATGGAAGACGTTTTGAATTGCTTTTGTGATATTTTGACCACTTTTACTTAAGTCTTTTATAGCCAAAGTGTTGTGTATTGAGACTTAAAATTTTGGGAAATTTTTTTTGGTTAGTTCAGGAAGCTAGACACTGAATTTGAGCAAAATCTAAGATGATCAGGTGGAGTGACTTGATCACTTGATATGGAACTATTATAAACTTCAGCTAATAAGTTACATTGATTAATAGAAATAAAATTGATGTCATAACCATGAATGACTACTTTTAGCATAGAGTAATAATTAATTAATGACTTTGACATTCAACACTGCAAAATTTATTTACAACAATGTTTGTGCAATTTTTTTCTGAAAAATTGTTTAATAGATGCATCAGTTTTTGCAAAATGATAAACTTTTTTAGAGTTTTTGACTGACTTTTTCAATATTATTATTATGTTGGGTTGATACCGGTGGCTGTGTACTATGCCAGACCAGAGTCAAGGCATAGTAACCAAAACAAAAATTAAATAAGTGTGTCAGTGTCTGTATTCAGGAATTTCCTAACAATATGGCATGTATTCAATATAGTGACCTTCTGTAGTGTGATATATGTATTTCTGTTCAATTTTAATGTTCTCAAGCTTTTGTGTAGTGTGTGTGGTATGACACCTGTAGAGGTATAATAAACTCATAAGGACTCTATCCATCGTCCACAGATGCCTTATTTCCTGGTTGAGTTCTGTGTACTTGCTGATTTTTTCACTGCTTGTGTTTTGTACATTGTGAGTGTTTCAAATGGCTATGTCTATAATGTATGTGATTTTATTGTGTTTGTCAATGAGTGTGATGTCTGGTCTGTTGTGGTAAATTGTTTTATCTGTGATTACGGCTCTGTCGTAGTACATTTTGTGCATGTTGTTCTTCCAATACTGTCTGTGGAATATATTTGTAGTATGGTTTGTGAATGTCTACCATTTTGTGTTTCTTTGCAAGCTCTTGGTGTATTATATTTGCTACTTAATTGTGTCTATGTAAGTAATCTGTCTGTGCCAAGAGCTTGCAACCAGAAGTGATGTGTTGTATAGTTTCTGGCATGATGTGACATTTTCTGCATGTGTCATTTGTGAGTGTTGTATCTTTGAGTATGTGTTTTCTGTAGTTTTTAGTATTTATGACCTGATCCTGTGTGGCAATCATAAATCCTTCTGTCTCCCCAAAGAGGCATCCCCAATCTAACCAGCTGTTTGACGCTGTTTTGTCAACAAAGTCCTGAGTCAGGTCATAGGGATGCCTGCCATGACACAGAACTCTTGCAGTGTTCTGTATTTGTTTGTAGTGAAGGTTAACTATGTCAATTGGGCCACATTTGCCATCTTTATGTGGAAGGATTAATCTTTCTATAGCAGATTAGGATGATCTTGTTTATGCTTAGTAAGTGTTGTTTTTGTTTTTGTTTGGAGTTGCTCAAGATCTGTGTGAGTCCAATGTATAACTCCAAAAGTGTGAGTGAGTACTAGGACAACATATGTGTTTATTGCTTTAACTGTGTTCTGAAAATAGCATTTAACCTACATTGGTATTCTTTAATTAATCTTTGCTTTATTTGTATATGTTCTGTTAGTTTGGCCTGTTGGATTCCTAAATACTTGTAGAACTTGCCCTCTTCTATGGATTCAATAACCTCTCCATTTCCAAGTCAAAACTATCTTTCTTCAGGATTCCTTTTTCTATGTGAAGTGTTTTGCATTTGTCTAAGCCAAACTCCATTTGTATGTTCTTGGTGTATGAATGTGTGATTTGTAGGAGTTGATGAAGTTGTTTTTGTGTGGATGCAAAGTTTTATGTTGTCCATGTACATGAGATGTGACAGCGTAAATTGTGTTGTTTTTTTATGTCTGATATTGTAGCCATATTGCATGTTGTTTAACATGTTGGATAATGGATTCAGGGCTAGGCAGAACCAGAGAGGACTCAAGGAATCTCCTTGAAAAATTACTTGCCTAATGGATATTTGATTTATTTGTATGGAAGTGTTACTAACCCTGAGATGTAGTGTTCTCCAGTGCTGCATAGTGTTTTGGAAGAATGCAATAAGTGATGGATGTATTTTGTACATGTGTAGAATATGTAGCAGCCAACTGTGTCGAATGCTTTTCTGTAGTCTATATATGCCATGTGTATGTTTGTGTGTTGTTTATGTGCTTGCCATAGAATGACTGAATCTACAAGTAACTGTTCTTTGCATCCCCTGTGATTTCTATGGCAACCTTTTTGTTGTTCTGTAAGAATGTCGTGTTCTTCAACATATTTGTATATTTTGTTTGTAATTGGTCTGTATTGTGTGGGGTCTGTGGTGGTGTTGTTTTTAGGTTTCATGTAGATGATGCCCTGAGTAAGAAATTTTGGCATGTCTTGTGATTGATGATGATGTGTGTTAGATGTTTAGCTAGTTCCTGGTGCAGTGATGTAAACTTTTTGTAGCAGAAATTGTGAATGTTGTCTACACCAGGTGTGTTCCAGTTGTGTGTTCTGTTAACAACATAGCAGATGTCGTGTACATTTATTTCAGCACAGGGCATAGTTGGTATGTTGCGAAGTTTCTTTTCTCCTCCTCGATCCAGCCTTCATCAGCATTGTGTGTAACAGCACTGGACCAAAGAGAAAGACCAATAAGTTGTAAGTTCTTCTTCTGTTGGTTTGCCACTGTGCTGTGTTGTTTTGGTACTGATTTGTCTGTAGAAAAGTTTTTATTGTTTGTGAATAATTTATTTTGTTGTTTTCGTAGTGTACATGTTTTGTATCGTTTGAGTCTATGTGCTTTGGCTGCGAGTTTTTGTTTTAGTGTATCGATGTATTCTGTAATGTGTGTGTTGTGATGTTTGTGTTTTGTGTGTGTTTTGATTTTCTTGAAAATGTTTTTGAGTTGTTTCTTTAATTTGGGTGTTATGTTGTTTTTAGTGTATTGTGTCAGCCTGCCTAATTGTTGTCTAATGTCATTTATTTGTGCTTCTACAGTATTCTTCTCTGCCAGGCAGGCTTGTGATAGAATTGTGTTTTGTGTGTGTCTGTCTATGATTGTGTTTTCAGATCATGGTGTATCACTACCGTGACTGCCCAAGCATAAACTAATGTATGAATGTTTGAGAATGTAGAAATTAAATGGATGTAGTGTGGTAGTAAGAGAGTGTTTACTTAATTTAGTGTTTTTCCTACTACCTTTGATGTGTTGATTTTTGGTATTCGTGGTCTGTGTGTGGGATCCCTACCTGTATATTTAGTGAGTGTTTCCTGAAATATAAATGAGTGTGTATTAACTAAATCTATGTCTATGTTATCAGTGGTGAATGATGAAGTGCCTGTAGTTGTAGATGGATGATTAGTGGTAGTTGTTGTATGTATGCTATAATCAGTGCTTGTTGCTGGATTATCCTGACAGGTTACATGATCTTCATTAATGTTAAATGTTTCTGTCTGTTGATGTATTTGATCAGCAACCTGTTGTTTGATAAGTTCAAGTGTTGTTTGTGGGATAAGGTTGTTGTTTAAATAGAATGCTTGAAAATTTTGTTTTAATTTAAGCTGACACAAAATTTTACTCATTAAATAGTGTTGTAAAAGAGTTTTAAAATAAAAATGGATTTTCTTGTTTAGTTCTTTTCAAAGATCTGTTTTAGTTTTGTTTTTTTTTTAAATTGATATCTATAGTTCTGTAAACTAGATCGACTTGTCTTTATCGAAAGCTTATAACTGTATAAATAAGCAACAATGTAACAATTGACTGAACTGATTAGAAACAAAGTAAACAATGTTTCACTTTCAATTTTAAAACATTTTTCCTGTGTTTTGGCAATTATTTTTAATTAATGTTTGTAGGCTGAGAATCTATTTTATTTCAGTGTCTTTGCAACTATTGCCATAATAATAATTTTGTACTGCAAATTTCTCTGAGACTCTTAATTTCTCCCAAATCTCATTTGCATGATCAAACATATTCTTCACCTCTGCCACCTTGCTGTTGAACTATAAATTGACTTTTAATTGTTCTGACTTATATTTAGATCAATGTACTTTTTTTGGATCAGTGATTCTTAACATAGAGTGCATGCATTCCCAGAAACATGATACATTTCTTCTGGAGGTGTGAGACTTCTACATGATATCTTTTCTGGAAAATAAATGTTTTTTTCTTTCTTTAATTGAATTTTTAAAAAATTTTTAAAAATTAAGACTGAGGTTTTAAAGCAAGATCTTAATAAAAAGGTACTAAAATCAAATTTAAATGTATTATGTATTTTCTCTGTTAAAAATATCTAATCTAGATCTAAATATTTTTAAATTAATGAATAGCCACAGATGAATTTTCTTTCTTAATTGCTTAGTTTTATCCAACCATGAAATAAACTTGTATGGGAATATGGAATGGTTTTTTCTCTTTATGCAAAAAATGGAATGTTTCATAGACATATGAGAATATATTTAAAAATTTCAAGAAATACAGATAACAGGAAAGGTTAAGAACACTATTCTAGATTGTCTGAGAATGTAACATGATCATTTTCTAAAAAGTTTTGGCATTTTTTTTAAGAAATTATATTTTAAATATTTGGGCTGCAATTTGAAAAAATCATAGACCTATAAATTTCCAGTCATCTCTTTATCCATCTGTCTTTCTTTAATTTCAAGAACGGAGTTAGATAGATGAAAGATGAGATTAGACATGGAAACCTTAGGGCAGGAGGCCCCAATTAATTATATAAGAACTCCTGATAGAAACTGGAAGTCATGTTATTTAATTTAAAAATTTTTTCCTGAAAGGTGTTAGATAGATAACCAGCACGACTCTGTTGTTAAAGGAAAAGTATGATGTACAGGGGCAAGCCACTACTAATTTGAGGTTAAATAAACTAAAAAATATGATTAAAAATTACAGCCCAGCATTGTGACAAGGTCACAATAAATAAATAAATAATTGCTTATTTATATTTAATATATTTTATAAGAAATTCTATTTTATAAGATAGGATTAAAGGAAAATATGAAAAATTAAAATGAATTAAAATATGATTAAAAAATTACATGACTTTTAGTCCAGACTGAATGATTTTGTATATAGTTAATCAGGGCCTCCAGTCCCAAATCCTTTCATATCTGGTCTTGATTTTCATCTATCTAACTCCATTCTTGAGATTAAGGAAGGACAGATGGACAGTTGGATGACAGAGAGAATCAATAGGTCTGTACGAGGTCTGTTCAAAAAATACGCAGACTGTTTGAATTGCGTGGCTGCAGTTGGTTCCAGGGGAATCTGCTTGGTGTCGCTAGGTTTGTACAGATCGTCTGGTGATAAAGCCGTTTTCCGATTACAGATATCTTGATTTGTTGATTAGCTATGTGGTTTTTAGTGAAGTGCAATTTTTTCATTTGTCAGATTTCAGAATGAATGACCTGATGGAGCAATGACTTGCTGTGAAATTTTATGTTAAACTTGGAAAATCTGCAACTGAAACATTTGCTATGCTCAAAATGGCTTACGGTGATGTTGCTATGAAGCGTACAGCATGTTTCAATGACCCCCCAGACCCAGAAAAGCTCACCAAGTTTGATCCAATGTCAAGGTGATGCTGACCGTTTTCTTTGATGCTAAGGGTGTTGTTCACCACGAGTACTTCCCCCAAGGCTCCACAGTGAACCAGACTTACTACATTGAAGTTCTGAAATGTCTGAGGGACGCCATCCGTCAAAAAAGGCTAGAAATGTGGAAGAGTGGTGACTGGTTTCTCCATCACAACAATGCTCCAGCCCATTCAGCCTTCAGAACTTGTGAGTTTTTGGCCAAACACTCGATCACTGTTCTTCCCCACCCCTCCTATACACCTGACCTTGCTCCTTATGACTTATTCTTGTTCCCCAAACTCAAAAGATCCTTGAAGGGAAGAAGATTTGAGACAATTCCCAAGATTAAGGCAAATGAGACGAAGGCATTGAAAGACGTTACAAAAGAAATGTACCAGGTCTGTTTTAACAAGTGGAAACACCATTGGGATAAGTGTGTGTGTTTGGAAGGAGAGTACTTTGAAGGGCTAACCTAACAATCAAATAGTGTAAAATAGCTAACGTTTTTAAAATTTATAGATACAAAAATATGTCAAACAAATTATAAATTATATTCAGTTACAGTATTTAATATGAATAGTTTCTAATTCATAAATCTATATGATGTTTATAATTCATATATTAATTAGTAATAAAAATGATTATATATGTTATATCATTCTTTCAATAAATTTAAGTATTTCTAAAAATTATTTTTAGGCTAAAGAAACTCCAGAACCAATATTTGATTTAGCAGAATGTAATTTATCAGAGGTAGGATTTAAACTGTAAAATATTCAATTAATTTATTTTAAAATTTTAACTTAAAGAAATATCTAATTTAATATTTTTTTTAAAAATATAGGATATTATGATTATTTTCTGAATTTACATTTAACAGATTATGGAGATGAATCAGATCATTTTTTATTTTTTATGAACAAATTTTGTATGTTTATCTAACTGTAAAAATGTTTTTAATTGTGTAATGGTGATTATCGACAATTAAATTAATGATTTATTTAATTATCTTCAGAATTATCAAAGTTTATTGATATTTAATTGAAGCAATTGACAGGTTTTTTTAAACTAGTTCTCTGTTAAAAGAAATTGGGAAGTTATGAAAAAATTAGTCAAATTTTAAAAAATATAAAAATTATCAATTATGAAACATTTATAAATTGTCTAAATTTGATTAAAAGTAGTAGTATATAATAGTAATTTAAAATTTTATATACCAATTATCAAACACAATAGTCACTTATCTGAAAAGCTTTCGATTCTCAGGAAATATGTGTTATTGAATTTTTGAATTATTAAAAATGTCATTTAGTTCTGGTACTGTAACATTGGAGTAATTGTGATACTCACATTTTACCGGCATACACTTTTTCTTATGCTTGCTGGAATACTTGAGCCATTGCAGTATTTTGTTCGTTTTATCTTTCATAAGAGTACTTAATCGTAGAGCCTACATATTGTGACTGAAGGGTTGGCACCACGTCAAGATGTCATGTCCAGACTGACACACTGTGTTTTAGAGAACACAGAAATTACAATGAAGATTATGCTTCATTTCACGCACAAGTGGTCACGTTTGTAGGCGGTCAGATTTGGGATAGAGATGGTCCAAGAGACAGTGTATCTGGAGAAAAAAAGGTGCATTCAATTACCGCAATTCTAAAAATTTACCCATTTTATTGTATAGACTTATTTACACATGATAGACATATTCAAGTTTATGATATAACTATAAACAATAAACTAGCATATATATCATTTCCAATTAAATCGGATCTCTAACTGAGACAGAGAGAGTTTACAATTGAACGTGAAGTTGATAAATACCTTAGTGGTGGTGGATGGCATTGGTTTTGTAGATTTAGTAGATGGTCCATTTTTGGGGATTTCAAGGATGTCTTCTGAAGTAAGATGATATCCAATTCGATAATCTGATTGATATCCAAAACAGTGGAAGAACTGTCTGAGAAGGTCAGGACTTGATTCCATTGAGATAACAAACCTTAATTCTGATGAGATAGTGAATTTGAACCCTAACTAACTTGAGAACATCGACAAACACCCATGTTGCCATTGATACTGTTCTTTTATTTGGGAGACCTCCCCCTCACTGCTCTTGCCCTTTTTGGAAATTTTAAAGTCTGTGTCCAATAGCAATTTTTTGTTAGGTTCCTGGTGACACATGTTCAGAAGATGTGTCATCTCTGGACAAGGAAGCAAGTCCATGGGAAAAATTATAATCACATTCTTTTTCATTTTTCTGCCACTTTGGAAAAATTTTTGAAAAAGGGACAAAAATTTTTTTTTTGAGTTTGGACTCATGCGATAGAAAAGATTAAGGTTTGCAATTATCTCTTCCTTTTAGAAATATGTTCTTTGTACAGGATTTTCTCACAATATTACCATCATTACAACATTTGGTACAAAAAGAGTTAAAATTTATTAATATGGCAATGTGTTGGGCAGGATACACTTACGCTGAATTCAAGTGCATTTACTCCCATATACAAAAATTCCTCTTTCCACCATCAAAATTAGAAATAATAGAAAAGGATCAAATTTATATAAGCCCTTCTATCCCATATCTTGGATCTGTGTCCTTATGCATTACTGGAAGGTTTTGAAAATCAAGGTTTAACCTTCCAATAAAACCATAGCTACCCTTATACGGAATACTATGTAACAACAGGGATAAATTAACTACATTAGAAAAGTCAGGCATATATGTAATTATGCAACACCAAAACAATGATGAAAATGGGATATATATTGGGGCCACAAGTAGAAAATGGCAAAGCAGAATATTAGAACATCAAGATGACATTTGTAAAAATAAAATTTCCACAGAACTATCTAGAAGGGTTCTCAATCATTACTTTACATCCCTGTGTAATGAAACTTCCATCTTTGTACAATGTGAGAATCACAACTGTTTATTCATCTTGGAAACATTATTAATTGAGAAATCAGAGCTGTGTAATAGACCCACTCTAGAGCTCCCAAAAATATGGATTTCACTATTCAATAATTTAAAAAATTAAATCACAGCTGCCAATAATTTTCAATTATAATTTGACTGTTAATAAAAATGTAAGTTTAATAGTACACCATTTAAATTTAACATGTGCGTTTCAATTTGTACAAATTAATATTAAACATTAAAAATAACATGTGCACTCAAATTAAAACATATTAACGTTAATGTTAAAATTCATATCAATTCATCATTTGCCTGAAGAAAACATTCTATATGTGTTGAAAGGGCTTGCAAAATATTCTATATTTGTGTGATAAAAACCTTATTAATTAATTAATTAAGTAATGCCAATAGACAGTGCTCATAAACTTTTATCTGACAAAAATCTGGCATGAAAAATTAGATATTTCTTTCATACTCCATGGAAACTGGAAGGAGATATTTCTTCATGCTTATAAATGGAATAGGATATTGGCACAAGGAATATACACATTGAATTTTCTTTTGGAGTGTCACCAGCATGTCAAAGTATATCACATTAAATTACAAATCACTTCCAAGGTGTATAGATGTGAGGTTAACCGACTGGGTGTGTCTATCAGGATCATCGCATGGTCACAATTGTCGTGTGGGAATGGAAAAACTCTCTGAGACAGCTTTCCATCATTAACTTGTTAATAAAATTAAAAAGTTTTCTTACAACAATTCTTATGATAAGGGGCAGAAACAAAGGGAGAAAAACAAGTCCATACAAAAAGTCCAAATGTTCCGTCTATTGTTTTTCCTCTTCTGGTGATGTCCATGTGAAAAGCGATAGCTCCAGGGCACACAGCATGGCTTCGAGAGATGTCTTCTTGTGAATAGATAGACCTGGGTGAATTTGGATGACTCTGGAGAGCATAGATTAATCCTTGGACATTGAAAAATCTTTTGTTGGTGAACTATTGGATCACAAACTTCTGGGAGAGGAGCACTATGGACCAAGAACGTTATGTCCTTAATTTGCGTGGTTTTTATAAGTTTTCCTCCCAAAGTCGTCATTTAATTGGTCTTTCTTCGTCACCTGGAGCCAAAGACACCTGTCGAGGGGGTGTGGGAGAGGTCAACTTTGTGACTAAACTCGACTCCTCTCTAACCACATTTCCCTCAACTTTGGTCTTTTCAACAGCATTCTTCTTTTGTTTTAAAATTTTACAAAAAAAAACTTTCTTGTTTAATTGAGACCTTCAATTTCTCCCTTTTGTGTTGTAAAAGGAAATTTTTAAGATCTCATTAATACCTCCATTCGGACCTCCAAGTCGACCCCTCCATCCGGGTCCTTACATAGGTACATTAACACCAAAGGTCAAACAAAAATTCTTGGCAAAACTCATAAGAGAAGAAAGGAAGGCATTGGCATTTAACAAGCTGTTTCTATATCTTGCACATATGAGGTTTGTGGAATGGTGTGATCCAGTAATGCTATATGAACAACTAGCTAAAATCAATAATATTATCTCACATAGAATAAAACTTATGAAAGATAAAATGGACAAAAATCTGCAATGGCTCAGGTATTCCAAAAAGCGTAAGAAAAAGTATATGCTGGTAAGATGTGAGTATTACAATTATCTGATGTTACAGTATCGGAATGAGTCCACTGAGTCTTACAATGTGGTCCCAAGCACGTCATTTAGTTCATTTATATTTAGAATTTTTTGCAATTGGTGTTACTGTTTTGCTATTATACAATAATTCAGATAAAAATAAATCATAATTACTACTAGATATTATATTACTGAATTTCTGTTTTCAAAGCAAGAGTATATTTGTAATTTCAAATATTCGGTCATAAATAACTATTTTATTTTAATTAAATTACTGTATTTGTATAACTACTATCCATATGTTTTGTTTTTTATTATAAGAATTTTATAATTTATAATGATGTAATTTTAAAATTAAAAGATAATTAAATTTATATCTCTCTATATATACAGTGACCATTTCATGTGACTTTGTATGTACTATATACAGTGGTGGACAAAATTTTAAAGACAAGCAAAAATTTCACCTAAACAATTAGCTTAATTATGATTGGTGGTTCAATCATGTTTGTATGCTTTAAGAAAGTAAATTAATAGGTTTATACAATAATGAAAGAATAGTGTTGGAATAGTTGTTCCAAAAAATAGAAAACCAGCTAATTTATGTTGACAAAACTTTAAATACAACTAAAAAAATAACTGCAAATTTTCATATGAATGTTAATTAAGGATGTGTACGTGTATAAAGAGATCTGCATATATTTGTATACAAAAAAATTACTTGTCAAACATGTGAAAAGATGTAAAACTGGCATTGAAAAAACAAGGACAAATTTATATTTTATGGCCACAATTACAAAACTATTGTGCTGTAGCCACCCAAATAGGAAGGAGTCACACTGTTGTCTACAACTATATTAAAAAAATGATAAATACAACTCAAAAAGCAATGGTGGAAGACCTTCTAAGTTTAATGCAAGAGATAAGAGGCAAACTTTGAGGGTTGCAAGCAAAAGTGTGACATCATTTGATGTGAATCAATTAGAGTTAAAAGTTCATTTCTGTACTGTTCAAAGAGTGATAAAGCCATCAGGATGACTTAAAAGAAAGAAATTAAAAAGAAAACTTCCCTTAAAAGAATATAAAACTGCAAGATTGACTTATGCATGAGATCACATGTCCTGGGATACAGAATAGCAATAGGTTATTTTTTCAGATGAAAAAAGTTCAATCTGGATGGTCCAGATGGT